GTTTAAAAAATATCCGTGGATATTTTAAAACTCACGGATACCCGTAGATATTCGTGAATACCTGCAAATATTTTAAAAAAAATATATTTTAATAAATTATTAAAATAAAATTTAAATAGAATTACAAAAAATATATAAAATATAATATATATTAAATTAAAATAAATATAAATTTAATTTTAATTAAATTTAATCTTATAAAATATAAATTAATGTTAATTTTAATTAAATTTAACTTAATAAAATATAAATTAAATTTTTATTTTTATTTTTTGCGGGTAGCGGGTATCTATGGGTACGGATAGTATACTACCTGCACCCGATCCGTTTATAAGCAGGTATTAAAATATCCGTTACCCACAGGTTGTAGGTAGTAAATATTCGCGGGTATCAATTATCCATCGCAGATTTTATCTGCGTATATCCGTGGACACGAATTTTTTTGCCATCCCTACTTAAGATCATTAAATCTTGTCTAAGACCAAAATAGTTCGAGGATCTCCTATCATTCTCTTTTCCACCTATCATCTCTGAGTTAAATGGTTGATAGACTATCAAAATACATCCTTATTGACCCATCAAATGTGAATTCATACACTAAGATCATTATTACAAGATTTCTTGAAATTTTCTCAATACCATCACCATACTTATCCACAACTATAATTGTCACCACAAATAATAATAAACGATGTTATAAACATACATCAATTTCATCACATATCTATTTCAAACCACCAAAAAAGAAAAACAAATCTAATTTACAAATTGGCGATCAAAGATGGTGCACAATGCTCAACCTTTTGTGAAAAGTGACTCTCAACACTATCTTTCTCGCAAAATATTGCGTTCAACGCCCTTAAACTAAATTGCTCTGAACTTGTATTGCAAATATGGCGCTCAACGACATCCTAGCATTGCTTAATGCCAAACTATTAGCAAAAAGTGGCACTCGACGATACAGTTGGTCGCTCGCTCAGTGCCTTGGATGTCCCAAGCCTATAACACAAACTAGCGCTTAACATTAGTTTGATATCTCTTAGTGAGTTGGTTCAAAACTGTTTTTACACACTAACACTCTTACCAATTTACTCAATTGCTCAAATTCTTAAGTTCTCTCAATCACACAAACCCAAGTACAAGCAAACAAATTTGTGAACAAATAATTCAGCTATGTAAACCAAAACGAAAATAGTCATATTCACCACAAATTAAATGCATCAAAACAAATATAGTTCATTATCAACATAAAATCAACCATTAATATGCACTCATCAATTTAGCAAAAACACCACAAGAGAATTAAAGACTAATTTTCCTTATTTGACAAAGTTGCTTAACAAATCCTAAAGAGCCAAGATGTCTCTTAACTTGCAAATTATTCCTTTTTTACACCTAGAGAAAACATCAAAACAACATGACCATGCCAACAAAGACATTGATAAACAGAGATTGAAGAAATACAACACAAGAATATATGCAAGCAAGAAAAACCACACATGCAACCAGATGAAATAGAAAAGACAAGGAAAAGGGGTTGAAAACCAACTTACGCAAACAAAAAAACTCGTCGCAAAGAGCAATCCTACTATCTCAGTTCCTCAATCAAATGAACATAGAGAAAAAAATGTTACAAAGAAGTAAATAAACTTTAAAAAAATGACTTTTAGAAAAATGATTTATTTTAAAATAATAAAACTCATTCATAACAAACTATTTATATTAAAAATTTGAGTATTAAAATAACCGATTTAACCCACTCTTACTTCTAAAACGTCATTGTCTAGGTCTTTATCTTATTCAATTTTTTTGAGTAAAATAAATTTTGAAAATTATGTATTATTGCTTTCATAAATAAAGTTCTAACTTTTTTTGAGTTTATTATACACACGTTTTACTTAATTATTTTAAACCAATTTTAATAAAATAAATGCAAAGACATTTTAGTAAATTATTAAATTAAAAAATTTAATTCTTTTTCTTTTCACTCATATAAATCACATCTACAATCTTTCCACCCACTTATAGTCATTTATATTCCACTTTCCTTACCTAAAAGTAACCTCCCTTTCCACTCTTTTTTTCCATCCTTTCCTTCCCTTTCCACCCATCCTCATCCAAACAAAGGTTCACTTATACCATATTCAATTATAGAGGGTTCATAAGTAATAAAATACAAAAAGCTAAGCAAAATTTCCCTCGATATGTACATTGCAACATATCAAACTGCAGAACATGAAACCTGGACATATGTTTTTGAACCGTCTTGAGTAACTGATAACTTCAACAAACCTCCTCACACAAACATGCAACACTTTGATCTACACAATCTGTCATTATCTCTCAGCAACAAAATTTAATCTTCTCATTATCTATCAACAATTTAGTCAAATATGGAATCAAAAGTATTTGTGTCTAGTATCTGTACTTGTTAGTATACAGTTGTATAAGTTGACTGTGTCATGTTTACTGTGTCCATGGAAGTGCATCAGAATAAGGATTTGGTCCACAATATTTGAATAAACCTTCAATTTCAGGGCACCCATGGGGATAAGGAATTGAACGATGAAAAGGGTCACGCTTTAGTTCTTGTGATAAAGTGAACCTCGACAGCCATATGGGTCTTTCTGGAACTGAGTTCTAACCAATTCCTCACCTCTTAGAGCAGCTGTTTTTGAATTTGATGTAGCAGGAGTACCAGCATAGAAGAACCTTGACTCTGGAAACCCAATAGCAGATCGATGTAGATGTGCAAATCTTTTTTCCTTGAAATCATAACTTACAACCTGATTTCCAGATTCAACAAATCAGATTGAAACATTTTGTTATATATTTTTTGTTCCTTATAGACATAGAAAAGATGGAGGGATAACATTTCGATAAATTAAATCAGCATTAGAAGGAACTATGATCTAACCAGTAAAAGCTGCATTGCAATAAATGAATAGAATTCTTCATTTTCACATAAGAAGGCTTACATACAGTTATATTGTTGGGGATAGACCAGTAAGCTCCCGGAATCGACAGACACTAAATAGAAGATTTTCAAAGCTGTCACGAGCATGCTCCTCTGTAAGTGCTCTCCATTTCACACTTTCTTCTTTACCTACAAAAGACCCAAAAGTATGACATCATTTCTGATAAAAATAATTGGAAGCATATGGCATATAAACTAAAGCTGAAAGATAGTGAAATTCATATCAACAGCAGCCTGATAAAACTGTTATGCAGCAGAAATTCATCGAGCCAACTTTATATTCATTAGTAGGTCCATGGCGTAAACCATTAATCAGAAGAAAAGCCGTTGAAACTTTAGTTTTGTATCTCTTCCTAAATCATTAACAAGGCCAAGAAAACATTTTTTACAATAAGAATGTTCCTTACTGCACTTCCTTTCTTTTCCTATTGAAATAAACATTCCCTATGATTTTTTATGCTTTCAAATCACAGAAGTTGGACTCAAATAGAATGAGTTCATCCAAACACAACATTAAAATCAAATATTTGAATATTGAGTTGCCTTTCCATAAATTCAAATCACTGGATTTTAAATCTACAAGCCTAATTCATGCACTATTTCTATTTATTCAGATCAAATTGCTCAACTCGTAAAAGTTGTAGTATATGAAAAAACTTTATTCATAAACCTGTGCATGCATTAAAAATAATATAGACAAGAAAAATAACAACTTATAAAAAGTCATAAATAGTGAGATCCAATACATAACAACTGAAATAGGTTCAAAATTTATAAAATCACTCATAATAAACGATAAATTCATAATTGTCCAATACAAACAAAAACTATCCAAGGTTGCTCACTGGATTGGAGGATGGTGCGCTGCGTCAATCTTCTTGGTGATGTCTGATGTTTAGGTTTGGTGATCCATTTTTTATTAAACACCTGGCCCAACCCAAAAAGCCCCAACGCACTTACCTTTTTCTGTTAGGATTGTTTTCACAGATCACAACCAGCGGGGAAGACACACGAGGCACAAGTTTCACCATGGTCCCCTGTGATCACCACCCTCACTGTCTTCAGCACTCTGTCCTCACTGCCTACGCTGCTACCCTTGCATTCAATATCTAGAAAGTTTGAATGGGATAGTAGTACGGGTGATTCAGAAAATGCTAGAAAAAGACTGAGTCAAGAAGAGAGCGAGGTGACTGTCGTATTTTCAAGAAAGGACCTCAACTACTATCAATTCCATTTTAAAGAGAAGTAGAGGGAGGGATGCATTCAATAAATTGCTCTATTTTCTACAACAATGCTATTCCATTTTAATGTATCAAAAGCAAAGAGTTCAAGATGATGCTGAGTTGGTTTGCCAAACATGGTCTCGAATTTAAGCCACCATCATACCATAAGATTAAGGTGAAATATTTGAAGCAACAGGTTCAAAAGGCCAATCTGATCTTGGAAGAACATAAACTATTTTGGATGAAATATAGATGCACAACAATGATAGATGAATGGATTGATAAGAGGAGATGGACTATACTCAATTTTCTGGTTAATAGTCAAGGGGGACTGTCTTTTTTAAGTCTATTGATGCTTCTGACATATGCAAGACAACTGAAAAAGTTTATAAGATGTTGTTGAGGGGGTTTGGAAAAAAAAATGTGATCCAAATTGATAACTGACATGCAACATTACAGACGCTTAGACTTGTATACTGCAAAAGAGCTAAAGTTTTATATTGGACACCTTATGCACGCCACTTGCATGGATTTTAATGTTGGAAGATTTTGAAAAGAAAATACCACTCCATCATGAAACAATAGCCAGTGGTAAGAAAATCACAATCTACATCTATTCAAGATCAAGTCTTATTTCCTTGTTTGCACAAATTTATAAAAGGGGCAGATTTCATAAGCCCTGTCATACTCGTTTTGCCCCTTCCTTTTGACTTTGGGATGCTTGAATGAAAATAAAAGGTCACTTATTAAGATGTTCACATCAAAGGGGTGGAAATCTAGTCAATTGATAAAGACTTGTCAAAATATATTTTAGGAAACTTTCAATATTATTTCCATGTATTTAATTTTATATTCCCTGTATTGCTATTATTATTAGAATAACGATCCCACAATTTTTAGGGAGTTGTTCCGTAGAATAGGTTGCTCAATCAATGAGCTTCTTGTATATAATCTTAATGCATGTAAGGAGACATATAATAGAAAAAAATTTATGTCTCTCTCATAAATTCAAGAAGGACTAGAAGTGGAGGGTTTGTGGAAACATTTGAATATTGGATAAGAGATTTTGGAAAAATATTTTGAATTGCATGATGGGTGTTCTTCCCCTCTTAAGGTGTTGTGCATGGCAGATTCCAATGTGAAAGCAGCCATGGGATTTATTTATGAAGAAATGGATATTGCTAAAGAGAAGATACAAAGTCTTTTCAGTGGAGTTAGAAAAAGGTAATAATAACTAATTATCTTCACGTTATATTGGAGATATAATTGACTACTTTGTATTCTACTCTTAGCTTTAACTCCCCTTTAAGGGGAAAATCATTGACCAAAAGAATTGGGGCAACCAATTATATAGGCCATTTGCATGCTGCAGGCTATGACCGTATATCCCAGTTGCACTTATGATACTAAATTTAAAGTTTGTAGTGCTATGAGGTTGCAACCGTGGAATGCATGATTGTTTGGATAGGTTGGTGGGAAAATTTTGAGATCAGTAAGATGATTGCTTCAAACGGAAAGTTTTAAGAGCAAAATTGGAGCTTTTAGATTTGAGCTCTTCGACTAGCTCAACATGCACTGCAAAAAACCAAATCATCCTCACAATGGTTATAACATCCAAAAATAGAAAGATTTGCAATTAGAGTATTGAGTGACTTTGTAGTTCATTCAGTTGTGATCAGTAATTGAGATTTCTTTTGAGAGGGTAAGAATAAATTTATGAAAATTGATTTTATAATTAGTTTTTTAGAGGTAGTATATGCTTTAGCCATTACTTTTTAAATTTAGGTCCACACCAAGAAAAGTAAATCAGTTACAGAAAAAAGGAAACTATGAATAATGTGGTCGTTTGTGATGGCTTATTCAAGATTGAAGAAGGATGTAAGAAAAACACAAGGACGTATAACATCGATTGATCTGCTTTTGATGATGGATTGGACTATGGAGGAAATGAAGCAAAATTTCAACTTTGGATGCTTTTAGAGTGAAGGACACTTAGTTGAGTTTGGAGGAAACATGAAGAGTTGAGTTAAAGTTGGTGTTGCTACCACCTATGGATGATTCGGAGGTTCCTCCCAATTTGGAGTCCCATTTTTCATCGAAGCAAGATCATTCAGTGTTTAGTCCATTGTGTTTTTCTTAACATCAATGTTAGTAGGTGCGGTTTTGGGGGAGGGGGGGGGTGGGGTGGGTGTTGGGGGGGGGGGGTGTGGGGGGGGGGGTTATGATCTTCTTGTCAATTCTTGATGTTTATTGTTGTAAACAATTTCTTTCTTGGTGTGACTAAAATAAGTTATAAAATTAATAAAAACACATTACACTAGACTACTAGAAGTATAGATATAAATAATTATAAAATCCAATTTCATAACTTTGAATTCTTACCCTTTCAAAAGCACTTCAATTACACTCACATCAAATGAACTACCGCTAAAACCTTTGTGATTTCGACTAATGTTCAACAAACCATTATTATTCCCCCACTATTGTACATGGAGTTTTGGTTTGTTTCTAAAATGCACATTGAGCCATAGTGATCACAAAATAAAAAAATTATTCTAAAATTGTCTTGAACTTTCAATTATAAGGATCAGTTTACTTACTTCATTTCATTACCATCCTCATCGTTGATAAATCATTGATAATTGGTTTTGTTCAGTTCATAATCAATTTTCAAAATTCAGGATTATAGGATAACTTGAGATTTAAGATTTAATATAGCCTGTAACATGCAATGGCACATGCAATTGAGTCCTCATCTTTTGATTAAATGATTTCGCAAAAGGGGAGTGTGGCGTTGAAAGAGAAAAATAATTAAATTTTAATCGTCCAAACAAAAGTCTTATTATTAAAAGGAAAAAAGTATAAAATCAAACAATGGAAAGTATTATTACCTTTTACTACCCCATTGAAGGGACGTTTGTTCACATTTTAGCATATCCATTTTTCTTCATTAACAGATCCATGACATTCTTTCATAAAACACTTAACGAAGCTAAAAAAATATTTTCATTGACATATACACATTGGATTTGTTACTTCATTGATTTTTCTTGCATTCATTAGTCCCCAACCATGCGCAACACCTTACATTAAGAAAATGCAACCCCTCATGCAATTCAAAATAAATATCAAAAATTGGACAGATTTTTCCATCATAGTTAGTATTACAAACATGACTAGATTGCCTTTTCTTGGATTGTGACATCCTAATATTATCACTTATTTTCAATCAAGCATCTCAAAGTCAAATAAAAAGTGTTTTCAAAATTGAGTATTAGCTAGTTTATCAAATCCGTCCTTTAGTAAATTTTTGCAATAAGCAAATAAGAGTAGTTTCTTTGAATAGATGTCGGGTTATGATTTTTTTTTTTTTTACCACTTGGTGTTGGTGTCTTGACGTCAGTGGCATTTTCTACTTCTCCAAAATCTTCCAACATAAATTGTCATGCAATGAAGCTCACAAGGTTGTTCAATATAATTCGTTTCTCTGTTTGTGTCAACAAGTCTCAAATTAAACTTGTAATTATTTGGGCATAATCAGTTTTTAACTTCGATCACATTCTCTTTCCCAACACTCCCAATGACATCACTATCTATCTTGAAAAAGAATTTCATTTTATATAGTTCTCCTTCTTATTAGTCCCATCCATCTGTCATTATAGAGGCACCCAGTTTTTTCTTGCCAACAACAGTTTATGTTCTGTAGCCCAAAGATCCTGGTACTATCAAAATATTTCACCCTAATTTACATGGTAGAGTTGCTGGCCTACATCAGTACCAGGTTTTCGGCAACCACACTCGAGCATTCTCTCTTTAGAAATTTACCTGATCTTATAAATAATAGTAAAGCATTGTGTAGCCAAAAATTACAGGCCAATCTTGAGTCGCATTAGCTTCGTGCACCAGTTTCTGTGAAAATTGGACAATGATAGCAATTTGAGATTTGTCATTCCATCTTCTCCATGAGGAGAAAACTGGGATGAGTTCATATGACCCGATAGCTATTTGATTGCTTTGAGGTTTGCCAGGCATCCTTCTATTGAATCAGCCTATTTTACATACCCCTTTTCAAATCTTTGTAATTTTTGCTTGCTTTTTATCAAATTTGCTGCCTAATATAACAAAAGCCAACATTATTTTATTAACTATCTTCAGTGAATTTCAGGGAAGAGTCATTACAACAGCTCCACATATCCTTTTGAAGTTTCCATGCTAATTTAAGTTTTATTCAAACAATCTCTCGTCTCATCAATAGGTTATCACAGTATTTACACTTCACTTTTCGCTCTTTTCCCCATGGCAATTACAACCCATGCAGTCCATTGTAGGACCTCATCTTTGCTTCGGATACCACTCCTCTTATTTAGCAGCAGTGACTAACCACCTTCATG